GTGTTGTGTGCTTATGTTCTTTTATCTTGGTTTATGTTTGGTTTTGTTAATTGTTTTGATGCACGTCCAGGAGGTATATGTACATGCACGCGCGTAGACACATAAATACACATACATAAACACATAGATACACACACACACACATACACTGAAATAAAATATACAGACACAAACACACACGTATAAGTACAAAAACGCAGACACATACACATACAAAGATACAAAAATACACATGAATAGTTATATAAGTAAAGTTTCAACCCAAATAACCAATCTTTAATTCGTCCTTGCACTGACAGGGCTTCATTCTGCTTTTCTTCTTTAATATACGCTTTCGTCTTCGTCCGTGGCTATATCATGTCTGTGTTTACATTATAATTTTGATTGTGTTCAGTCCAAGTTCCACTTAGTAATACACCTGAAGTCGTAACCCAAAATTTCTACAAACTTTCTTCATCCGGATAATTGGGTGTCTTATCCCTGGAATCATATTGTACGTGACTGCGGACTTGAATGTTAACTCGTTCTGGTGTAAAATGTGGTGATAAAGGATACGATGTCTCACACGTGCGCGAAAGAGAGCGCCATAATATGCACACGCATCTAGAGAAGCCTGTTCTAACTCAGTTATTATCATTATTGTTGTTATCATTGCTGTTATTATTATTATTAATGTTACTATTATTATTATCATCATTATCATTCGAGGCAAGTACTGTGCATTATTTAATTAAACCGTTAGTCTAGTACATTTATTATTTACACGGATGGTAGGAGGGGAAGGGGAGTGGAAAGGGAGACGAAAGGGGAGAGAGGGAGAAAGGGGCTTAAAGTTTGGAGAAGGGGAAACCTAAAGAGGAAAAGGGAATGGCTAAGGGGAAAGGGAGGAATGAGGAAAGAGAACTTAAAGAAAAAAAAGGGATGGGAGAGGGAGGGAAGAGGATAAAGAAGCGAACGAGGTGGAGGAGGAGTTTAAGGAGGAGGAGGAGGGAAGTGAGAGGGACAAATGCAGGGTTCAAAGTGGGAGAGGAGGAGTGAATTTAAGAATGGGAGGTTTGGAAGGAAAAGGAAAGGAAGGAAAGGCAGAGGGAGAGGAAAAATCAGAGGGAGAGGGAAAGGATAAAGGAGAGGGGAGGCAAAATATAGAAGGAAGAAGGTAAAAGAGGGAGAGAGGAGTATCTCTTATCTTTTATTGTTTCGTGGAATTCCCGCCGGTGCACATATAACCTGAGCACTTTTCATCATCCCGAAAATGATATCGATTGGAGATCATTTGAAATCGTCTGAAAATAAGATTGGAATCGATTGACAACACACTGAGCTCGTTTGCATTTAGATTGAACTCGATTGCAAAATTCGGTTGCAAGTACACATACCTATTTCCTGTTAGGTGATTGAAATGAGTAAAAGCTAGCAAGAGCTTTCTAAATACGCATAACCCGAGAAAAAAAATGTACCTGTGATTTTCTTACTTTGTTTGAATGCGGATTAGAAGTAATACTAGGCAATTTCTCTTCTCCCACTTGCTTGTTCTCTTTGTTTACTCTCCTGTCAGGCCGTCTGCGTCTATCAGTTTCTCTCTGTCTCTTGCTCTCGTTCTCTCGCCCGCTCTCTCTCTCTCTCTCTCTCTCTCTCTCTCTCTCTCTCTCTCTCTCTCTCTCTCTCTCTGTCTGTCTGTCTCTCTCTCTCTCTCTCTCTCTCCCTCTCTCCCTCCCTCCCTCCCTCCCTCCCTCCCTCCCTCCCTCCCTCCCTCCCTCCCTCCCTCCCTCCCTCCCTCCCTCCCTCCCTCCCTCTCTCTGTCCCTCTCTTTCTCCCTCTCTCCCTTTCTCTCTCTCTCTTTCTCTCTCTCTCTCTCTCTCTCTCTCTCTCTCTCTCTCTCTCTCTCTCTCTCTCTCTCTCTCTCTCTCTCTCTCTCTCTCTCTCTCTCTCTCTCTCTCTCTCTCTCTCTCTCTCTCTCTCTCTCTCTCTCTCTCTCTCTCTCTCCGTCTTAGTCAAACACACGCACATGCGAGCGAGCGCACGCTCATCCAGGAAGTCAGGTATAGACATATCGTATTTGTGATAAGTCATTTCTTTGATCAGATGGTTTTTAGCATTGACGTGAGTTTGATTGAGTCCCGTTATGGAATTCCAGGCTTTGCTGCGAATCAAGGCTGTGGAGACCCTACATCTCTTTCACTTTGTTTTTTCGTGTGTGTCTGGGTTATTGTAGACAGATAAATTTTATGTTATTTTTAGCGATACTTATATGTAACAATAGATCTATAAACAGTTACACATTCACATATATGCATACGAATATTCGAACACATGTAAATGTCTATTAGCACACATACGTGTACACACAAGACACAACGTATTCTGATACACACACACACAAAGACACATGCACACACACACATACACACACACACACACACGCACACGCACGCACGCACGCACGCACACGCGTACACAAATTGAATCAATATAACAAAAGTATTTTCAAAACCCGAGAGGTTAATTGGATGTGAGACTCAAACTCCAGACGCAGTACACACCATTGCTCTGAAGAGGCTAAATGTCAATAGAAAGATGTACAATTGCCATTAAAAAAAATCCCTTTACTTCTTATGGTCTGGAGATATTCTAATAATTTTCTGTTTACATAATATTGCCTCACATTACGTCGTTTGGCTTAAAGCTATAGCAAGAATGCACTCTTAGACAAAATTGGTAAATTGAGGGCAAGATAAGTGTCCCAAATAGCTTATCCCTTTAAAAGGTAAATCACACTTAAGTTACCCTGCAGCATAATTTAGAACAATTTACCCTTCCTGAAAAGGGTAAATCAAGTATCTTTTTATCCCTTTTTTTGTTTTGTCCCATCACCGATGCGGTGTACGACGAACTATTTAGCGCCATGTTTTATATTGTCAGTCTTTGTTCCAGAGGCATCGAAGTGTTTGTCTAAAATTGTCAAGGAATGTTTTTCTCGGTCTGTCTCGAGCTTATTTGCCTTCTATTTTACCACCTAAGCTAATTTTTTCCAATGTGTATTTACGGATTGCTTGTCCCAGGAATTTGTGTTGTCGTTCGGATCAGTTCTAGAGGCTCGCGTTCCCTTATTTAGGGTAAACTGGAATGCGAACTTACCCCTTTTGTATCTAGTTTACCCTTTCTATGGGGTAATGCCACTTTACCCCATTGTGCATCCAATGTGTCCTTCCTATGGGGTAATATTCTATGCTGAAATAACCCTTGTGTACTTATGTTACCTCTTCTATGGGGTAATGTTAATGGTGATATAACCCTCGTGTACTTAATTTGGCCTTTCTTTGGGGTAAAATTACTTAGGGCGAATGGAATGTCTTTCTTTCTTGTAGTGTATAGTTTTAGATCCAAAGTTTAGGGATTACAAAATAATTATTGATATAGTATACCCATTAACTTACATAACAAATGTCTAAATATATCCTGGACTGAAATATATCACACGCACACATATATGTGTGTGTGTGTGTGTGTATATATATATATATATATATATATATATATATATATATATATATATATATATATATAATCTGGGCATAAAAGGAAATGTTACCAAGAAAAATAGGTAAGTAAAATACTAATCAACAAAAATGTATTATCTGAATAAATGACAGAAAAGGCGAGTTTCAGGCACTTCCATTATTTTCGCTAATGACATTACAGATGCGATCCCTCTGTTTGTCCCACAATCACCATTTATGACTAGGAAATGTTTTGACATTTTTCCCACTTTACATAAATACTAAAGACATGAAACTTATTTTAATGGTGTCTAGTATCACCGTCTCATCCTCTCTGGTGAATGTTATTGACTTCAACAAATCCTGTCACATTTTTGGAGTTGGAATATTAATGTAATCAGATGCCAATGTTGCAATGGCTCTTGAAGCATGTGCAAGATATTTGCAGACTGATGCCACAGACATTTCTAAACAACCTGCAATATCTAGCTGGAAGGATCCCATTACCATGAAACGCAAGGAGGTCAGGAGCTGCGTAAGAGGTGGAATGCTGCGGACAGTTAATGGAAAGGATATTGGCACCTTACTTAAAATGTGTACAAGCATACATGATTTTTTATTATATATGTAAATTATATTTTGATTAAATTGATGAATCAGTTTCCTTAACCCATTCGCGACGGGTAAAAATGAACAAAAAATAGGGAAAATGCTGTGCTCATTTTTTATTCTTTATGTGAAATGTCTCTACACATAGATGGCTCTGCCTTACCTGATTTCATTTGGCGGGAAAATGTATATTTTACTAGTGACTAGTGCTATGAATACCAATGGTTATTTTTATTATAAACATTATAATTGCTATAATGTTACAAAGATTATTAACAGCAAAAGAAGATAACGTAAAATATTTTCGTAAATTAAAGAAAAGGGTAAACGGGCGAGACAGGCAGTACAAGTACAAGTGTAGCCATCAATGCTTAAAAACAATTAAACAAATAAACTCACAGTGGGCATGTCACAACCTAGTGATATAAACAAATCAGTACGATTTTTCTAATATATATATATATATATATATATATATATATATATATATATATATATATATATATGTATATATATTTATGTATATATAGTGTATGTATATATATATTTACACACACACACACACACACACACACACACACACACACACACACACACACACACACATATATATATATATATATATATATATATATATATATATATATATATATATATATATATTTATATATATACATTTATATACATATATATGTGTATATATGTATATATATATATATATATATATATATATATATATATATATATATGTGTGTGTGTGTGTGTGTGTGTGTGTGTGTGTGTGTGTGTGTGTGTGTGTGTGTGTGTGTGTGTGTATGTATGTATGTATATGTATATATATATATATATATATATATATATATATATATATATATATATTCCATCTCACACCTGATGAATAACAGTTTACGCAGCAAGGTCCATTCAGAATTAGAGCAGCCAATGGCTAGCACCACCTGTTGTCAGTTCATCGCTGAAGTCAACCTTCG